AAACAAACCCACATCTGCATAAATAACTCTCCCCTGTAATCCCACTATCAACAGCAAATGAACCAGTATTAATAAGGCTGCAAAGAGATTAAGACTATTATAAGAAAGGAGAGAAATAAACTATTAGTATAAACTCTAATTACTTAATATGCACAAACTTGATAGACCTGAAATGGACGTTAAAGAGCTATGTAGAAAAGAAAATAGCGCAAATCGTGGATAAGACCACAGTGGATTTTGTCTCGGTAGCCTCTAGTATTTACCACCGTTTTTTCTTTCTGGATCTGCCTCTGATGATCTCAGATGTTGACCCTGTCTGACCTTAGGCAGTCTGTTCGAGACTTCCAGAAATCTATTCTCTGTGGCTGTCTCCTTCAGTTATTAATCTAGTCACTCTGCATTCAGCAGTCAGGCTTAAGCAACATAGAGCAGGGCAGAATCCCTCCTGGGGGTGTGGCTATTGGGTCTTCTTACACTGCTGACGCTCAGGGAAGTGGTCTGACTGAGCAAGATGGCTGCTGCCGTATGGGGGATGAGTCAGCACTGGGAATCCCGCTAGCTACTTTCTCAGTTCTCTCTCCAAAGCCTCCTTCCCCAGTCTCTCCTCAGGCATCTCTAGCTCACTCTGCCCCTGCTTTTGCCAGAGCCCAGGGTAAGTGGCTGCAAACAGAAATCTATGCGTTGGCCCTTTAAACGGCTCTTGCGTCTCCAGATGCCAGCCTCTGGCAGAGAGCAAATCTGCCACTTTTTGCAGCAGGCTGTTATCTGTATACTTTTTGGGCTCTGGTGCTGTAGGCTGGGGGTCCCTGCTTATGGTTTAGACCCCACTCTTCTCAGGGGGATCCAACTGGCCGTTTAAGTATCCCTCTGGCACTGCCGCCCATGGGCGCCCAGCCAGCCTTCATGAGTCTCCACCTCACTCCTTACTAGTCAGGTTGTGTTGAAGCTGAATCTTCTGTCTGTCTGAGGTTATAAGACATCTCTCTCGCTATTGTTCAGTTGGTTGTTCCGGGTGATTTATCCACAATTTAGTTGTAATTCCAGATTGGCCTGGGAGAAGGTCAGTGTGACTTCCATTCACTCCTCTGCCCTCTTGAAACTAATAACACATTTTTAATCTGTTTCTGTAGGCCAGGAATTTGGGAGAAGTTCCAGCTGGATGTTTCTGGCTCTGGTCTCGCAGGCAGTAGCCATGCAGTGGTTGCTAAAGCTGGAACTGGGTAAGGCTGGGACCAGCTGGTGATGGTGGGCATCTCTCTTCATGCCATGTCAGGGCTCCTCTACACAAGGTGGTTTGAACTTCCTCCAAGTTTGGCAGCCTTTGCACAGTCCCACTACTTTGTGATTCCGGGCTCCCATACAAACCTTTGAGCAAAAAGGATAACGCTGTGTACTGTAGCCTCAGAAGTCATACAGGATCACTTCATAAACTGCTACATTCTTTTGGTTATGTGGGAATTGCAGGCCCGTCCAGATTCAAGGGGAGGGGAATTAGATTCCACCTGTTGATGGGGCAATGGCAAAATTACTTGTAGAACAGCATGTGGAATGGGGCATAGCATTGTGGCAACCTTTGGAAAGTACACCTTGCCACATCTGATCAAAGTAAAAGTAAATATTTGTCTGTTGATGAGGAAGGGAGGAAGAGAGAAAAAGAAGAAAGGTCCTTGTGATTCATCACATTAAAATAATTTAGGCAAACCTATCAAGGGGGACAAACACCACCAGGAGTGCAGGTGTGTGCTGTGCATGACAATGCCAACCATTATCAGACTCTTGTATGAACAACCCCTGGTCCAATGGTGTTGGTGCATAGAACTCATTTCAGCCGAAGAAAGAGGATGATGTCAACTGTTACCTCCCCCCAAAAAACCCCAGAAACCCCACAAAAATAAAATCAGTTTCAAGACAAGCTTGAAGGCAATTTTCTTACCAAAAATAAGTGCATGTGCCACCTGCTGGTGAGATAGTCAAAAGTGCATTCTCTCCTGTTCACTGCATTTATTGAGCAGTCATTGAACAACAATTCTAACATCTACAAGTGTATCTCTCCAAAAGCACGGGGAGGGAAAGGACACAGTAAAAAGGAAGGAGTAGTAACTATAGGGCATCCATGCTGGCGTATCCAGATGTGTCAAATCAGCCTCCTTTTCATTAATCCTAAATCCCCTTAATTCTCTGTTCTATTGGCTTTTCATGCGCCTTCTAATGGGGTATGGAGGAGGGAACAGGGAGAGAATACGTTAAAGAAGGAAAAGTTTGTTATTACACTGTTGGGGGCGAGGGAGGGTGGGAGTCAAATGATGGCTGCAGAGATCAGCTCTAGAACCGTGGGCCCTTTCACCCATGTTGTCCGTTGTCTCGGATACTCCTGGACTTGCTTGAGAATTTATTAGAGCAAAACCATGCAGCCTGCCTATCTATCTATCCATCTATCTATCTATCTACCTATTTATCTATCATCTATCTATCTTTAAACCTCACCCAAGGACATGCTCACTGATTTTAGGGAGAGAGGGAGAGAAACATCAGTTGGTTGCCCCTCTCGTTACAGGCCCTGACTGGAGACCAAACCAACAACCCAGGCGTGTGCCCTGACTGGGAATCGAACCTTCTACCTTTAGGTTTATGGGACAATGCTCCACCCAACCAAGCCACAGTGGCCAGGGCCATGGCAGCCTATTTAGAATATAAGAGTCATCCACGGGGTCAGATTGATGATGCATCTTTCTGGCCCAACAACCTGGGATGGGCGCAAGGGGACTATGGTTACTTTACTAGAATCATATCATCCAACTAGTAACAGCTACCACTTTGAAGTGCTTACTATGCATTAGTAACTGTACTCATCAGGTTATATCTCATATAACCCGTATAACTCTATAATTTCATCCCAGTTTTACAGATGAAGAAACCGAACTTTGAGAAAAATTACGTACCTGAATGACCATATATACTGTTATAAATGTTGGAGCCAGAATTCACCATGACTTAAAAAGTCCAGCTTCTTCTTAACATTGTTATATTTACTAATGCCTTGAGGTAAAGATCTTTGAAATCTACTTCTGTTTTTTCAACCTCTTAAAACGAGTTTGAAAGCTGCACTCTCCACCGTGATTCAGCACTACTGGCTGCTCCAAACTTGCTTTCCTCTTTTTCAGGAGGCCCTCTCCCCACCGGCTGACAAGGAGGGTCATCCTTTTTATTTCCTCAGAGGATATTCTCTTAGGTTCCCCCTCGTGACTTTGTTCTGGGATGCAGAGCTCTGCTCCTCGGTTGCACATCCCTCCCCCACACCCAGGCTTCCTTCATTCTCTGCCCTTTCCCAGCTTGATGCTCTAGGTGGCTTCACCTCCTCCAGGACCCACACACTAAACCTGGCAAGCTCAAGGGAGGCCAGCATGGTGGGCCCTACAAACTCACAGGCTGAAAGGAACCACATGGGATGGTCTGAGCATAAAAATGACTAACTAAAAGCAGGTCATGGCCACTAGTGACAACCTAGGCCTGTATCTTTCTAGACAAAAGTCTTTACCTTAAGTGAAAAAGACCACTCAGGGCACACCCCCTGCACCAGAGCACGAGACCACAGAACCCCCTCATGTTATCTTGTTTTCTACAGACCTTCTCTGTGCTGTAAGTGTTAATTGTTAACTGAAAAGTATGTGTCTCTCCTTTTCACTCTTGATCCAATCTCACATTTCTTGGCTTTGCTTTCTCCTGACTCCCTAATCTACCACCAATGAATTTCATGTAAACCTTCCTTTTATTTTAATGTGTAAAAATATGAGGGGGGACTCCCCAAACCCCAAATTTATTTATTAAAAAATTGTGTATTTATTCTTACATGTCTAAACTTCACTGACCTTCAAAGTACTCTCCATTTGATGCAATATACCTATTAAGATTTTTTTCCCACTGGTCAAAACAGCTTTTGAACTCATCTATTTTGATGCCTTTCAGTGCTTCCACTGTTTTTTGTTTCCCCGTCTTCTACATCAGCAGACTGTTTCCCTTTGAGGATTTTTTTCATCTGGGGAAACAAACAAACAAACAAGCTACTAGGGGCAAGATCAGGTGAATAGGGCTGATGGGGCAATAGGGTCATGCCTTTTCTTGGTCAAAAACTGCTGAACACTAAGCACGTGTGGACAGATGTGCTCATAAATCACGCATCGCGAAATGAGCAAACATACTGAGTCTTCACAAAAAAAATTACTGAAGCTGAAGGTAGCCTCTCACAACACCACCAGCTGGTGCATGAATACAGATGGGTTCCTGGAGCACTCACTTAGCAGGGGAAGCCTGTGCTACAAGGGGCCTGCCCCTCCAGATGATAATTCCAGTTTTTGGAGGGTCCACCCCCTTATTAATAAGCTGCAAAACTGCTATTCTCCAGAGCATTTTTTTCATCTGTTGAGATTTTGCTTCCTGGCAATTGTCAATATAGCTCAAATAAACTCTACGTTTGGACGTTTCTTATGTCTACAAAACCAGTTGAAACCTCCTGCCTTCAGTAGACGGGTAGGATTAGGACAGCCAGAGGTAGCAAATAAAATGAGGGGGCACTCAGTTACATTTGAATTCCGTTATGTCTCTTACAATAAAAACCTATTCATTATTCCTGTGAAATTCAAATTTAACAAGGTATCCTGTATTCTACCCAGCAACCCTAGGTAGGGTAGCATCGCTAGCAGGAGCTTGGAAGGTTTGCGACGGGGCACTGGAAGGAGGAGGCTTCCGGGCCTTCCAGGCCAAGAATAAAGCACCCAGCAGGTGCAGAGTGTGCTGCCAGCAGCCAGTCCCCACCTAGCCCGTGAGGAAAGAGGGCCACGTGTGTTTGCTGGAACCCCGCTCAAGGCTTGGGGGTCAAAAAAGCTCGAGATGACCTGAAATGCCTGGTGCTTGGCTCCTGAAGAGCCCTGTAACCACTGCACCGGCCACCAGCCAGAAGCAGGCCGCCCGACACCAAAATGGTGCCTGTGGCGGCCGCCAGCTTCCAAGATGGCGGCGCGGGGCCGCGTCCGCGCTCCCGCGCGGTCCACCCCCAGCCTTCCTCCGGCTGGGAGCTAGTCTCGCGTTGCCGCGCTCCGGTTGCCCTTCTGTTTGCGTGGTGGTCCTAGCCCCCGCCCCACGCCATGTGGCTTCTCGGCTGGTGGCAGGTACTGCTGTGGGTGCTGGGGCTTCCCGCCCGCGGCCAGGAGGGTGAGTACGTACTGGGGCCGTGGCTGCGGGGGGCAGCAGGTGGCGGGTAGCGAAATGAAGGGGCCAAGTGGAGGACTGTCTGTGCGATGATCTTTAACCGGCGCGAAGGCCCGCAAGGTGCGCCTCGCCTCGCTTCTTGCCGGCTCTTCTCCCAGCATTATCCCGAACTCGCTCCCGCCCAGGTGGTCCCCGCGCGTGGTCCGCGGTGGGGGGAACCGCGGGACGCTTAGGCCCCCTCAGCGCACGAGTGACGGTAGGGAGGGACCCTGTAGTAGCGCTTACCGAAGCACTTGGTTTTTCTGGTGAGCACTTTGTTATTAATGATACTAATCATAACGAATAGCTGGCATTTGTGCCGCCCTTATTAGGAGCCAGGAGCTGTGCTACTGCTTTCCATCCTTACCTCATTCAGTCCTCCCACCGACCCCACGGGCCAGGCTTCATTCGTATCTCCATTGTACAGATGAAGATGCTGCGCTAAGGGAGGCCAGGTTCCCCTGCCTGAGTTTGCGCTTCTGGAAAGGGGCAGAGCCTGCCTCTGACTTGCAAAGCCCGTGCTTTACTTTCCACCCAGCTCGACCACTCTTTTAAGCGGGCCACTCTTGCCCTGGCCGGTGTGGCTCAGTTGGGTGGGTGTCGTCCCACGGACCGAGAGGTTGCGGGTTCGATTCTTGGCCGGGGTACCTGCCTGGGTTGCTGGTTCGGTCCCAGTCCGGTGCCCACGACAGGCAACCCATGGGTGTTTCTGGTTCGCATAGATATTTCTCTCCCTCTCTTCCCCTCTCTGTAAAATCAATGGGCTTGTCCTCATTGAGGGTAAACAAATAGATAAATAAAGCAAGCCACTCTAGCCCAGATGCCCCCTCACCTGCAGCCTGCTGCTTGCCAGGCTGTGCTCTCAGGGCCCCTCAGGGTTGGGGGGGCAGCCACCCTGGAGGCAGGCGGGTTCCTGGTGTGGAGGCCTTCCTCTTGCTGCTCCTTCACCCCTCGCAATCCTAGTCAAGTCCACACCCTTTGGCCTTGCCTGTCATTCAGAACAGGAATAGGCAGGTCTTTCCTTTCCATGGGTGTTCTGGTGGGGGCAGGGCAGCAGGCTGGCTGAGCAGGGAGAAGGCTGAGGAATAGTAATATATTTACCGTTAATGGAAGCGCTTGCTAGGCCAGCTGCTGTGTTAGTGCTTTACAAACGTCGTCTTACTTAATCTTTATTTAGAAAATTTTTTAATTTATTGATTTTAGAGAGAGGTAGGGAGAGAAACATCTGTTTGTTGTTCCACTTATTTATGCCTTCATTGGTTGCAACTTATATGTGCCCTGACCAGGGATCCAACCCGCAACTGTGGCTATTGGGAAGGATGCTCTAATCGACTGAGCTGTCTGGCCAGGGCCTCGTATTTAATCTTTAAATGCTTATGAAGTGGGTGTGGTTATCATCACCGCTTTGTAGATGAGTAAGCTGAGACTCAGCATCAAGAAGGCTTGCCAACATCCAACAGCCAGAGTTGAGGGGCCGCCATTCAAGCCCGGGTGTGTCTGGTTTCACAGTGAAATCTCTGTATTACCCTTCTGTCATTACTCTTAACTGCCAGCCTCCGAGAGGGGACAGCATGTGCTGGATATCTTCTGTTTGTCTCCCAGATCATTCTCAAGTCTTCATCCTGCTCTGGACCCTGTTTAGAATAACAATGGTCTCTCCTGCCTTCTGACTTCCCTTCAGGTTGGAATGAGGGGAGAGAGAGGTTGGGGAATTGGTTCTCTTAGCTCCCTCCCTCAGGGGTTATCACAGATTGGCTGTGTCCCTCCACTGCAAGTCACAGCTTCTAGAAGTCTGTCCGTGCTGTTTCAAGGTTCTCTGACTGTTTCTGCCTCTGGCCTCTTACGATCTATGCGTGGTGACTGGCTTGCCGTCTGCTGTTATGGGCACTGGAGTTCCATACTGTCGGTTTTGTTTTCTCTACACCGAGTCCGCATGTTGGTGGTCTCTTTATTAAGCTTCCCTCGAATTGCCCAAGTTGAATGTGTTCTCTGTTTCTCTTGGCTGATTCAGGGCACTGACTTCCTGTGGCAGACAGGAGTCTACCTGGTAGCCAGGGTCATACTCATGTAGACCTGAGGGTAACACCAGCCGTGTGTGGCGGGGGGCTGGTCATTGGTCATCACGGCTGGGTCATGAATGGGGTGAAGACCTAGGAACCTTCACCAGCTGGTTTCTTTTCAGGGTGGCTGAAAGTCCAAGGCTTTTTTTTTTTTTTTTTTTAATTTTCTGATTAGGGTTTACATTAAATTATTTTGTATCAGTTTCAGGTGTGCAGCATAGTGGTGAGGCAGTCATACACTTTACAAAGTGGCCCCCCTGGTATTTCAGGTACCCACCTGGCACTGTACACAGTTATTACAGTGTTATTGACTATATTCCCTATGCAGTGCTCTACATCCCCGGGACCAGTTCGTGACTACCAATTTGTAGGTCCCAATCCCTTCACCTTTTTCACCCAGCCCCCCAACCGATTCCAAGGCTTCTTTTCGGCAAAGGACACCAGTGGCAGATTAGCAACTCGAGGTGGCAGTGCTGCCCAGGTGTCAAGGAACGGGAGGTTACTCCTGGCTTCAGCACACCCAGGCCGGTCCTCACTAGACAGTCCACTGGCAGATTCTTACTGCATGTCCTTCATGTGCCATACACTGTCCTGGGCCCTGAGGGTACAAATGGCGAGCCAGAGAGCACAACAGACCCGTCCTTCTGTCCGATGGGGAAGGCAGGCGTTAAATGACTACAAATAATTAAGTAAATTATAACAGTGGAAAATGCTTCCAGGAGAGTTCCCAGGCATTACTGGATGTTGTAATGGGAGGCCCCTCTGGTCTGAGGGCGAGAGAAGGCGAAGTTCACCTCACACAGGTGAAGTGCAGGGTGAGACCTGAAGGATGAGAGGGATTAGCCCAAAGAGGGAGTGGAGGGCCTTCCTGGCAGAGAACCGCTCGGCAGCCCTGAGGAAGGTGGACAAGGAGAGCAGGGTGATCAGGGGCCAGAAATGCCTGGGGGCGCCAGTGGAGTGTGGACTCATGAGGGGCCTGGTATCTAGGCTACAGGACGCAGACTCAGGCACAGGGCAGGGGGAGGCCATTGAACAGGCTTTAGCAGAGGAGTGACATGATTAGATTGATCGTGAACTTTCAGACCCACTTGGGTTGCTGTGAGCAGCAGGGTCTGGACGGGGAGATAGAGGGCCAGCCACGGAGACCAGTTAGGTGGCTGCAGCAGTTGTCCAGGTGAGAGATGGCTGTGGCTTGGGCTGAGGCGTGTGAGCGGGGATGGGAGAAGTAGATGCATCCAGGATGTATTTAACAGAGAAATTAAAAGAACTTAGTTATGGTGCCCTTCCACCTTTTTGAATTGTAAACATCAGTTATATCATCATCATCAGCAGCAGCAGCACTGCAACCATTTAGGGAGTCCTACTATGTGCTAGGGACCATGCACATCTTTTCTCATTTAATCTGCAGAGTAGCCTTGTGAGTTTCTGCATTTCAGTGGTATTTTTCCGCACTTGTTAGATGTGCACACTGAGTATTTCCTGTGGAAAATAGGGGCTGCAGCTGCTCCAACCCCTGGCTGTTTTTGGTCCTCCCACATGTGGCTCCCCTGCCATAGGAGCCATTGTAAAACAACAACAACAGCAATAACTATAACAAACAACAACAACAACAACAACCACAACAACAAACCACTGCTGCTGATAGAGAGCCTTCTGAGAAAAACTGAACAGTGTGAAGGAGCTGCTCTAGGCTAGGCCTCCCTGGCAGCATTGACATGTGTGTGCCCCCACCCTCGTTCTCCAAACATCTTCCTTGCTGCCAATAATGCAATAATTTCCACTTTATGTATAGGTCAAGCTACCATCAGCTTGTTTAGGTTAAGAAGCAATCTCTTTTGAAAGGAGCATTACCCTGGGAGGGCTCCGTGGCTCCTGAATGGTAGGTCATTTCTGTCTTAGTGTGAAACAGTTTAATGGTTTCTTTCTTCCCAGTACCTAAATGAAAACAAAGGTACCCAAGGCCATATGCATTGTTTTTCCTAATCTGCACTGTGTACTTAAATATCTTCATAGGAGGGGAAAAAGTGCACTCCTGAACTTAAAGTACCAGCTCTCTGCATCACTCAGACTATCTTTTGGTTTTCTATCCATTGTTTCCATGAGGGTGATCAGAGAGAACCAGAGTCTAATATGCGCCCTGGTATTCTTTTCTGCTGAGGTTCTCCTAGGCTGCTGGCATTCTCCCTTTCTTATTGGCCCCAGAATATTGATTAGGTTCAGAGAGAGCAGATCTCTGCAGAACTGGGGCATTGGGGAGTAGGGCTTGGCTCCCAAATCTGGCACCCTTTGTTCTTCTCCAGACTTCTAGCCTCTTTGGCTCCATTTCTTGCTTTGTCTTGTGGATGGCATAGCAAACAAGTTTTGTTTTTGTTTTCTTTCCCTCTGATTTTTCAAACAGTGCGTGCTTATTAAACAGAGGCTACAGAAAGACCTCCCATGTGGAGGCCACTCCCACCAAATTTGCAGAGCTCCCTGTGCTGGCATCCGGCCCTTTCTCTAGGTCATAGTGACAGAAGTGCTTGACCCTCTTCTGTCAAAGCCTCACCTTGCTGTCCAAGCCCTGTCCTCGGCCATAGCTAACCTATATTGTGACCTCTCCTTCCTCATACACTTTCCCATCAGCTTTATACATCCTTAAGTTTCTCCTAGTCTTAAAAACCAAAACACAAATCTCCCTTAGCTTCTTGCCTGCCTGTAGCAACTACCCGGCTTTTATTCTCCCCCTTCATAGCTAGACTTTCAGAAAGAATTGCATACATTTGTCTATGTAGTTACTATTTCTGGTGCTCTTCATTCTTTAGTGTGGATCCGTATTTCCATCTGTTACCGTTTTTCTTCTGCTTGAATGAGTTCCTTTAAAATTGTTCTCATGAGATCTGCTGGTGATGAATTCTTTCGTCTTTATATGTCTGAAAGAAATATTTATTTGCCTTTGCTTTTTGAAAGATATTTTTGCTGGGTATAGAATTCTAGGTTTGTAGTTTTTTTTCCTTCCAGTACTTTATTTTTTCACCCCCAGTACTTTAAAGTTATTATTCTCTCAAATACTTTTTCTGTCCACTCTCCCTCTTCTTTACTCTCTTTTGGCTATTCCAATTATCTGTGCATTAACCACTTGGAATTGTCACACAGCTCACTGATGCTCTTAACTTTTTCTTTTGGACACTTTCCCCCATTGTGTGTTTCATTCAGATTGGTTCTATTGCTATGCCTTCAAGTTCACTACCCTTTTCTTCTGTAATGTTTAATCTGCAATTAATACCATCCAGTGCAGTTTTCATGTGAGACTGTAGTTGTCATTGCTAGAAGTACAATTTGTTTTTTTAAATCTTATGTCTCTATCTACTTAACTTTTTGAACTCTTGTTATACAGTTATAATTATGGTTTTAATAGCTTTGTCTAAGAATTCTTTTTTTAAAGGTTGTATTTATTTATTTTTGGGGAGAGAGGAAGGCAGGGAGAAAGAGAGGGAGAGAATCATTGATGTGAGAGAGATACATCGATCAGTTGCGCCTCTTGCATGTGCCTGACCAGGGACCAAACCCACAACTCAGGCATGCGCCCTGCCCAGGAATTGAACTGGCAATCTTTTGCTTTGTGGAAAGACACTCAACTAACTGAGTCATGCTTGTCAGGGTCCTTGTCTAATAGTTCTGATATCTGTGCAACTTCTGAGTCACTTTCAGTTAGTAGGTTATTCTCATCATTATGGGTCATTTTTCTCCTTCTTTATATACCTGAAAATCATTGATTGGATGCTAGAGACGAATTTTACCTTGACGGATATTTTAAGATTCCTATAAATGTTCTTGAGTCTTATTCTGAAGTACAGTTAAGGTCAACCTCTCAAAGTTAAACTGCTGAAAACAACTTGACCCTTGCTTTTGAATTTTGTTAGATGGGAGCAGAGCTGTTCTTACTCTGAGGTTAATTGTGCTCCGCTATGGAGGCAAGTCCTTTTTGTGCACTCTACCTGGTGCCCTGTGCAACATAAGGTTTTCTTATCTAGCTGGTGGGTACAGGTACTATTTGCAGCTCTGTGTGAATGTTGGGTTCTGTTGCCTCTAATCCTTTTGGGTGGTTCTTTCTAGTCACGTGCATGTGCTGACCAGTACATTTGAGAGGGCTCCTCTGCAGATCTCCTGGGTCCACCCTCCGCAGCCCTTCTGTTCTCTCCTGCAAACTCTAAGTTCCTTTGTCTCTGACCCTCATCTCCATTTCCTCAACTCAGTGGGCCCACTGGGCTCTGCACAAGCCCCGTCCCCCGCGCCGCAGTGGGCTCTTCCTCAGGTGGTAAGCTAGTTCAGTTGTAGGGTTCTCCTCATTTGCTTGATTGTTTCCTGGGATCATTGTCCTTTTTGCCTGATAACTAGTCTTCTGAAACTATTGTTTCACATATTTGACTGTTTTGGGGGTTTCTTTGGGAGGGGGGGTAAATCTGGTCCCTGTTACTCAGTCTTGGCCAGAAGCAGAATGGTTTTCAGTTGCCTGAACCTGCCAATCTCTATGGGAATATTAAGACCTTGTACGAATGTGCGTACCTTAGGGAGCTCCCAGACCCCTACCCAACTCTGAAGCTAGTTGGTCATTCATAATCTGGCCACATGCTGGTGGCTTGGCAGAGCTCAGTACCAGCAGGTGGCTCCCCAGCCATGCGGTGAGCTTGTGTGAGTCCAGCTGGGTCATTGGTTTCCTGTAGTCAGTGTCCGGCATGGAGTCTGGTAGCTCTTGCTGAGTTAGTGAGAGTTGGAGGGCGGGAGTCTTTGTTACAGAGGTGCGTGGAGATTTTTAAATGGACATGCAAGCCTGCCCAGGCCTCTTTGCTTACCTGAGCATTTTGCCTGGGCCCTGGCTAGTGGCCCTGAAGTGGGAAGAGAGTTTTCCTCTTCTCCCTGTTGCTGCTCCTGCACTGCTGGGTGCTCCTACACCGGCCCCGCTGCTTGCTAGCTGTGTGCCATTGGGCATTACGCCGCAGCTCTCTGTGCCTCGCTTGGTCATCTGTTAAGTGGGTGAAGGCCCTTGTCCTGCCCATTTCACAGAACTGTTATAGTGTACACAGCAGTGCTTTGCGTAGTAGAATCTTTCATAAAGCCATCGTTATTTTCTTGGATATTCTCATCAAACGAAGTGTTAAAATGTTTGTATTGTATTTTCCCAAAAGGATGTCTGCACTGAAATGTTTTTTGCTTATAATTCGCATGGCAAGCCGCGGGTTTTCTTTGAAGCTATGTATTTGTCCACTTATTTATTTTTGACTGTTTAAAGAATGATTTTTAAAAATTATTTATTTTTAGAGAGGGGGAAGGGAGGGAGAAAGAGAAGGAGGGGAACATGTGCCAGAGAAACATTGATTGGCTGCCTCTCACGCACTCCCAACTGGGGCCTGGGGCGGGGTGGGAGAGAGAGAGAATGGGAATGAATGAGTCTGCAGCCTTGCTGTATCTGTATGATGCTCTAACCAGCGGAGCCACCAGCCAGGGCTTGTCCACTTGTTTATTTGGGTTCGGTAATCTAGTACCTCCTTGAGACCTTCGTCAGGACCTGGAGAATGGCGAGGGGCACTCTTGATAGTTTAATGGGAAGGGTAGCTTTCTTCTCCATAGGGGAACATTTCATAGTAGAGGAGAATTGTAATTCTTTTGGGTTTATGTATTTGGAAGTCAAACATGGCTGTGAACCTGCTGGCCTGTTTTAGTTGCAGAGGAAAGTGGTCACTTATGGTCAGGGGAAGAGTCTGCCGCCCCGCTCCATGCGGGGGCCATGTACGTGGGTGAAGAGGAGCCTGCACATGGCCCGATGGGCCCGGACACGTCCGCAGAAGAGGCTGGGGCAGTGCTGGGGCTGGACACTGAAGGCGACCGCATGATGATGCTGTCTGTGGTTCCTGCGGAAACCGAGGACAAACCGAGCTCAGAGCCCAGCGATGGCACCTGCGGGGCTGGAGGGAGCGAGGACTTGCGGTGCAGCCTCCGGGAGAGCCTCTTTTCTCTGGATAGTGCAGGAGCCAACTTCCCGGAGAGAGAAGAGGAGGATTACACGGAGCCAGAGGCAGCGGAAGCCGACCCGGCCCCCAGCGAGGACTCCAATCACACCGACAGCCAGAAATCCCCCAAGGTCAACTGCGAGGAGAGAAACGTCACCGGGCTAGAAAATTTCACCCTGAAAATTTTAAATATGTCACAGGTAAGAAAAAACGGCATAGTGCTTTTCTTCTTTTCAGCACATTGATTTCAGGATTCAAGATTCTTTATCAACTTTCAAATGGATGGTGGTGGTCTTGATCATACAGTAAGTGGGATCGGGTTCAGTGGCTGCGTCAGTGAGAATGGACTTGGTTCTCTGCGATGTTTGTAGGGGAAGGAGGAGATATCACCAGTGTCCATTGTGCTTTTTGGGGTAGTCTCACCACCACGCCTCATGACAGAAATCCCAGTGGATATCAGTATCATAACAGAAGCCCCTTAAAAATCTGAATTATTAAAAAAAAAACCCTGAGTTACTAAAATTACAATTTAGCATTGTTTCGATTAGTTACCCCCCTAGGAAGTATGTAATATTGAGGGTTTTTTTTTCCTCCAAAGAGTGCGAATCCAGTGTTTACTCTTGAGCGACTGCTGAGACAGTTGTTCCAAACCAAGCCATGTTTTTCTAGCTCGTTGGACAGTGATTCCAAAGAGAATACTCAGATGAAGACCGATAGTTTTCTTATTTATTTATTTATTTATTTATAGAGAGAGGGGAAGGGAGGGAGAGAAACTTTCATCTGTGAGAGAAATATTGATCAGCTGGTCCTCGCGTGCTTCCATCCTGGGACCCAGTCTGCAATCCAGTCACTTGCCCTGACTGGGAATCAAACTGGTGGCCTTTCTGTTCTCAGGCCAGCAGTCTGCTGAGCCACACCAGCCAGGGTAGGGGCGGTGCATTTTTGACTCGAGCTAACCTTTCGCTGTGATAATGCCGTAAGGTTGTGTGAAGCGCGGGATGCAAAGGGCCGGGCAGTGGCCCGTGCCCTGCGAGTGAGTACCTAGTACTGGGTGGATAAAGTATGAAAAAATATTAACATGGCTCTACAGTAATATTAAGAATGGTTAGAAGAAAGTTTGTAAGTTGTCGTTTGATAGTGTTTTCCTGCTGGTTGATGACTGCATATAGCTCAAAGTACGAAAGGTTTTGAGGGATACCCTGCCGTTTCCCTCCTATTCCTGCTCCTGCCTCCTTTCCCTGGAGGCAGCGGCGTTTCCTGTTTCCTGGGTATCCTTCCAGAAAATGTACATTTACCGCTGACTGTAACACTTGTTTCTTTTACCACAGGACCTTATGGATTTTCTAAACCCCAACGGTAGTGATTGCACGCTAGTCCTGTTTTACACCCCTTGGTGCCGATTTTCTGCCAGTTTGGCCCCTCATTTTAACTCTCTGCCCCGGGCATTTCCAGCTCTTCAATTTTTGGCCCTGGATGCATCTCAGCACAGCAGGTATTGTCCCTTGTCGGGTGTCTGACTCATCCTTTGGGGCAACAATGGCAGTTACTTGGAGGTGGTAACTAGTTAAGAGGAAAGCAGGGGAGGTAGGCGTGGGCTTTGCAGAGGGAGAGGCAAGTGTGAGTGAGGAGTGAGGACGTCCATCCAACCGAGGCAGCTGACGCAGCTCCCTCTCTGGAGGTCCCTTTTGAGGAAGGAAGACAGTTTCTGTGAGGTGCAGGTGGCTCTGCCTGGTGCCGCGGCGGGGCCGGAGGACTTTCTAGGATCCTGGCCAGAACGAATTAGCAGAACCAGGTCACAGAGTAGGGTCTTCCTTTGTGACCTTCGTCTGCAGTTTCGGTCCCCAGCCCTGACAGCCTAGCTCTTGGCACCCCTGTTCCGTGTCTATTTAGGATTTCTTTCTCTTTTTCTTTTCTTCCTTTCTCTTACATTTATTTTTTGCATGAATATTCCTTACTAGACATTCAATAAATTAATTAATTTAGCCCTTTCAAATGACATTTACCCGTTTTATATTTCTTTTATATTGTTCAGCGGACTTTTGTCCTTTTAAATGTTTAGTAGGATAAGTTACTGGGAACTGTGGTCAGACAGCACGCGTTTACCCTCAGCGCCCTGCCTGTGCCTGCGTTAAAGCCTGTGCGTGGCTCCCCTCCCCGATCAGCAGCTCCCCAGCCGGCCCTGGCACAGCGCTGAGTGTGAGCAAGTGTCGCAAGTCTGGGTGAAGGTCAAGGTGGTGGTGAAAACGTAGTAAAACTTGGTTGACCTGTGCTCTGGGGATTTTTGGTGTAGGTAACTGCCAGTGTTTACCTGAAACTGTTTATGAAGAAAGAAATTGCCCAGCAAATTAGTAATCCTCACAAGGGCTTCGGGGGAATATCTAAGTGGCCTGGCCTAGGAGAACAGGTCTCAGTTTCGCCTGGGCCCCGCCCTGTGTCCAGGCTGGCAGGGTGGCTCCAGCACCTGCTCAGCTCTTTCTGGTGTGGGGTCTGGTAGCATAGCCCCACCACAGCCCCGACTTCCTGCAGGCTTTGTCGTCTGCTTGTTCCTTCATCGCCACGCGTCCTTCTCAGTGTCTGGTATGGTGCCCTAATTATGGACAATAAAGGATGCTTGTTCTTATATGGATGGCATGGGACGTGAGTTTGTCTCATTAATAGTTAAGTTACAGCACGTATACAAAAAAAATCCCGATTATCCAATATTGCCATTTTACTAATGGGGGAAATAGAGGCTTAAAGAGGAAAAATAATCTGCAGGTTACACAGATGACTTGGTTCAGTGGCAGAATGGAGGCGCGAACCCAGAGTGTTTTGACCCACTGCTCTGTATTATGAAAAAGTGAAACAAAACCACACAGGTCATGTTACCCCTTAGTCTTCCTGCCCTAGCTGTGCACTTCCTGGTGTGTTTGTTGGATTATAGATTCCTTATTGCCAGCTTACCAAGGTGATTGTTTACTGTAAGTTGGACCTTTTATGAGGGAGGGAGGTGGGCATTCTGGAGAGTTTGAAATGTCTTCTGTCTAGTAAACTGACACACTTCGCTTTGTCCAAGTTAGAATTTCTTGATATGGTAATTAGGGACTTAGGCTGCTCCCAACTGTGACCCATAAGGGAGGAGTCAGAGTTTGAATATCCGAAACCTCCACACAAAACAGAGCCGGTCTCATTTATTGCCATCCGTTCTCATACGGTCATTGTGTGAGCACGCCCACTGGTAATTCAGGCTTTCTGACTTTCTCTTGCAGCCTTTCTACCAGATTTGGCACTGTAGCTGTTCCTAACATCTTGTTATTTCAAGGAGCTAAACCAATGGCTAGATTTAATCACACAGACAGAACATTGGAGACCCTGAAAATCTTCATTTTTAACCAGACAGGTATGTGGAAATAATGCATTATAGAAGAAGACATTTAAAATTTTTTTACTTTATTTATAGAGAAAGGGGAAGGGAGGGAGAAAGAGAGGGAAAGAAACATCAATGTGCGGTTACCTCTCCTACGCCTCCAACTGGGGACCTGGCCCGCAACCCAGGCATGTGCCCTGACTGGGAATCGAACCAGCAGGTCAGTGCGCAATCCACTGAGCCACACCAACCGGGCTAGAAGACATTTTACTGCTGGGGGATGTGCCTTCTATGGGTTCCGATCTGCTATCATCCTTAAGTAAAGGATTCAAGATTGCTCTGAGATGTAAAACTTCTTTCCTAATGAACTGTTAGAATGCCTGTTGAATGTCTCCCAAATCAGCATAACATGAAGAGGCAATTTTAATATTATTAAAGATACCTTTTTTTAAAAAAAACAATAGACAGCTTTATTGAGATAGAATTCACATGCCATATACCCATAGATACCTTTTTAAATCCATTTTTCATTTGAGTATAATATTTACACAAAAATGTGCGTCAGTCGACAGTGAACAGAAGTGATGAATTTTCACAAAACAAACACCTTGGGTAACCAGTACCAGATCCAGAAAGAGGACATCACCAGCCCCGCTTGCGCATTACTGCTCCTGCCGTCCCCAGGGATCACCACCATCCTGACCCCTAACACCGTAGGCTAGTGTGGCCTGTTTTTGAACTTCATATTAATGGAGACAAAGTATGGATTGTTCGCCTGGCTTATTTCACTCACCGTTACATCTGTGGGATTCATCTGCACTGTTGTGTATAGTTTTTTGTTTCTGTATAGTATTCCATTAATTAATCCATTTACAGATGCTATTTTAATGCCTTAATATTTGCCAAATCAGATGGCCTTATTTCTTACTCTGTAAAAGTTTGAGCATTGTGTATTGAAGAAATTTCCTTCATTAAGAAAGTCTATTCCTCAAAAGCGTTAACACCTCAGTAATAAGCACCCATCTTCTTCCTGAAGTATATTCCCTGGAAATAAATACTAATTATAAAACACCTTCCATATATATTAAGTTGCATGTAATTACTTTTATCTACCACTAAAGAACAAACAGCTGAGTGACCTCATAGGTGAAGGTGGCTTGTTACCAGGTGGTTAGCTATTTCAGGTCTTGTCATTCAGTTTGATAAGAAGAGAGGGAGCTATTTTGTTCAATGTTCTAAGAAAACATAGGATACAAATGAAATCGGTAATCACCAATCCTAATTGTTATTTGTACTAACAACTCTTTTAGTAGATTCATTTTAAAGCATTTTTAAATAAGGAAAAAAAATACAAAGAAGAATTAAAACCATTTTGAATATACCTTCTGTAGTCTCCTGACAGTACCTTTACTAGTTACTTGTTGAGCTTTGGTCTCAGAAGAGAACAAAGGCCCCGGCTGGTAGCTCAGTTGGTTAGAGTGACATCCCGCTACACCAAGGTGGTGGGTTTGATCCCTAGTGAGGACACATCCAGGAAGCAGCCAATGAATGCATAAATAAGTGGAACAACAAATCGATATTTCTCCGCTCCCCCCCAAATTAATCAAAAAATTGAAAAAAAGAACAAAAGACAACTCTTACAATGTCCTTGTGAGCTCGCAGAAGCTCTAGTGTCTTAGCTGAGAACAGCCGCGTGGGGGCAGCCCCGTCCCTGTGGCGTGGCGGGGAGAAAGGGGCATTACCGAGTGCACTGGCAGGCACCTGAGACCCGTCCCGGACATACTAGCAGTGGCGTTTTAGGCTGACTGCATGTCATTTTGGGTACTATGCAAAATACTTGAAGAAGATCTGTAGTGGATGTGTTTTCTATCTGATTTGAAACAACTGATTTCTCTTGCAGGTATAGAAGCCAAGAAAAATGTGGTGGTAACTCAAGCTGACCAAATAGGTCCTCTTCCCAGCACTTTGATAAAAAGCATGGACTGGTTGCTTGTATTTTCCTTATTCTTTTTAATTAGTTTTATTATGTATGCTACCATTCGAACTGAGAGCATTCGGTGGCTAATTCCAGGACAAGAGCAGGAACATGCTGAGTAGGAATGGACCGAAGAAGTTGGAAAGAGGAATTTCAGTCCTTTGTCCCAGAAACTAATGCTGCAATTTCTCACATTTTCTCCAGTGAAGAGTTGACTTACAACTTCAGTCGAAGAATCATGCATTTGCTGAACTGTTAAATATGTAAAAAATTATAAACTGGTGTTTTAACTAGTATTGCAATAAGCCAATGCAAAAACATTCAATAGAGTTCACTGTCCTTGTTTTAACTACCAGAACATAATCCAATATTTTAAGGGAATAATTCAGTTTGAAATGGAAGATGTATTCTGGTGGAATAATGAGCAGAAGGACAATCTGCTGACTATATAGAAGGCAGAAATAGGACTTCCAAGTTAGTTTTAAAAACTCTTTATTCCTTAATATGTGTAAGAAGGTGAATTTCTGTTCATTTGTAGGTTTTCTTTCAGACTTTAAACAGGAAAGTGTTGTTATGGGAAGAATAAACTGGAATTGCTAAGTGTGACCTTACAAGTAGCAACTCGTGGGAAAATAAAAGAGTCAAATACCCTGTCATTTGTGACTAACTTCATTGAAAGAATCTCAAATGGTTTACGTTTTTTTCTGGGTAAAGCAGATGTTAGGAGAAGGTAAATGTTGTTATCATAAATGAAGCTTTTTAGGTTCCGTTCTGTGCTAATGCATTAACTGAACCTGAAAATGTTAGTTAGCAATATGCTACATTTAATGAGAACCAAAATATAAAACACTGTTCTTGCCCCCAAGTTGATTCTAGTCTAGTTTTAAGACACGTAGAAAACAGACATGTAACTTAATACAAACTTTTTGATAAGCTGTTTCTAAAAGATCCCTTAAATTCAGGTATGACAGCTGATTACATGATGATAAATTACTTTTATGCTGATTGTTTCTAGTGTTTTAGAGAGTAGTTCATTTCATAAGGCACCCTAAATCCTATGGAAATAAACCTTGGGTGAGTCTTCTCAGCGTTTTACTGGATGGGAGTTCAGGACTTCGTGTTGCGTTGTGGCCAGCCACGGCTGCGGCAGTCACAGGCAGGAGGGGTCTGCGGCTCAGAACGGTGCCATTACTATTTCCGCTTTATCGGGGAGCAAACCGAGGCACAGAGAGGTTGAACAGCTTGCCCAGGTTATACACAAAGTTGATGTAGCTGGGATTTCAATTTTCATATGTATCTGTACTTAAAATATAGGGAAAATATGTCTAGTAATTCTCTTACAATAACCAACGCTTGAATAGTACTGTGTGTGTTGTGTCTGGTTCTATTTTAAGAGCTTTATGTATAATTTCAGTTGTGCAATAGCCCCATGAGATTGGCACTACTATTTAATATTCTCATTTTACAGGAGAGAAAATGAGGCCCCAAATCACTTGCTCTTGGTTATGCGGGTTCCACCGAGGGGACCCCCACCTCAGACCTTGGCGTTGTGGAGCGGTGCCCTGCCGCACCTCTGTGCCATGGCCTAAGCGATCATGGTGTTTATTTCCCTCTAGTCTGTACGTTTCCCAGTCGTAGCCATAATATAGCTATATTTTAGCGCTTAGTTTTCCTAGCCATGGCTATATAATAGGCCTTTGGGTGGTTTGGCACTGGTTACCTAACCTGTTTTCTCTTACTGGATTTCTGGAATGTAGTCTCATTTCCCTGGGGGCAGATTCCCAGAGTGGGAGCTATTCTTTAAAGATACCGAATTTTCATGCCTTTTGATGTGTAATGGGGCCCTGCTCTACCTAGTCTGGGGTCAAGAAAAACTCCCAGGATGACCAACAGATCCACGGCTTTGCTTCTGACACTTAGCTGAGACAGGCTACATGGGCTTCCCCCCGAGGAAAATGTGGAACAGGGCTGTACCTTGCAGGGGAGGTTCAAGAGTAGAGAGTGGGGAATGGCTGCTGTCAAGGGAAGGCACTGGATGGAATGAAGTTTTTATATTAAAAGGGAGCAAGACCAGCTCCAATAGTGCCTCCGTCCCTCATGGCCAGCTGGTGCCCCCAGCAGCCAGCTGCCCACTCTGTAGTGCCCCACAAGACCCTTCCATGTGTGCCTAGTCAACACATCTATAGAGACAGAAAGTAGATTAGTGGTGCCTAGGCCTGGGAGTAGAGGGAAGGAATGAGGAATGACAGTAGGTACAAGGTTTCTTTAGGGGGAGATGCAAATTTCTAAAATAGGACTGTGATGGTTGTTCAACTCTATGAAGTTTAGTACCTTCGTACTTGGGTACTTGGGTATGAAGGTACTAAGGACACTGAATTGTAGACTTCATATTTTTAAAGGTTTTATTTCCTTATTTTTAGAGGGGAAGGGAGGAAGAGGGAGACAAACATTGATCAGTTGCCTCTGGCACGCCCCAACTGGGGACCTGGCCAGCAACCCAGGAATGTGCCCTGACTGGGATCCAACTGGTGACCTTTAGCTTTGTGGAAGGTGCTCAACCAGCTGAGCCACACCAGTCAGGCATGAATTGTACACTTTAAATAGGCAGTTAATATGGTATCTCAATAAAGCTGTTTTTTAAACAAATAGCTAATACATTGTAGAGCCGAGGAAAACATGCCTATTTAAAAGAAATAAAAAGCATATTAAAAAAAAAAACAACGAAACTTATGAAAATGATGAGGGGATTTTAAAGGGTTTCCTGGACCCAATTTCCAATGTAGTGGCGGTGGGGTTTCCCTCACCAACAAACAACTCTTGGACACCAGGAAGGTGCCCAAGGATTCACCTCAATTCTAACAGCACACCTAGAAATAGCATCAGGTTCCACAGGTTAAGGGTTGTGCTTCTAATGCACTGCCTATAAATCAGAGGTTCCCACAACCCATTCCTTGGGTTTGATGAATTTGCTGGAAAGGATTAAAGAACTAAACCGTTTTACTCATAGAAGACGAGTTCATTACAAATTATATTAAAAGATACAAATCAATAGCCAGATAAAGAGATACATACATACGGGAGCTTGGGGTCCCAGCAAGGTGGCCCCCCTCCCCAGAGGTCACGGGGTGGGGCTGAAATGTCCAACACTAATCACGTGCTTTGCCCCAGGGGCCTTAGGCGCTTTCCAAAAGTGAACTCCTTAACATTTTAACAAGACACCTTTATCATTTTCAGCACTTAGGGAAGACCAAATATAAATCACAATACCATAGGCCTCACACCTACCGGTTCATTTTTCAGTTTTTGCTTTAATGATCAAGTTTGTGCAGCATTTTAATGATCTTAAACACAAGGTAAATATTGGAAATACAACCTTTAATTCCACCGCTAGTCTATTCTAAGGCAGAGAAACTACGGTACCTTAGATAAATGCTTTGAGACCAGTAGCATTTAATTAGGGTCTCTGGTGAGATTCCTCCCTGAGTTTTCAAGTGGGTGAAGTTGGTTTGGGCTGTAAGTTTGAGTTTTAGACTATTTTGAGGCCAAAAGGCTTTATTTTTTCCAAGTCCATATAGGGAATAAGAAAAACTGTCAGTAACTACTAAGTTTAACTTCAATGGACTCATCTTTAAAAAAAAAATTCTTGTATTATAACCATTGCAAAACTGCTTATAATTTGCTTAAACTAGGGAAAAAAAACCAAACCACGCGGATATACTAAAACCCACTGAATCGCACACTTTAAAGGGTAAATTTTGTTATATGTGAATTACATATCAAAAAGACAAAAGGCAAAAAAAGATTATTTTATCTAGCAAATACAGAGGAGCCAGCTTGCTCCAGAGTCTTGGCAGCTAAGGAACCACAAAGCAAGCTCAGATTCGAGCCTACGACTACCTGACCTACAAGCCCCTGACCCGAATCATGATTGTTCACTGCTTCCCGCAAACACAGGAGAGTGGTTCCTAAGCACCCACCCACAGGTCATCTCTTCCTTCCCCTGTCCCCGACGTCCTTCTGCTGGGCGGACTCTTCGCCCCACCACCCTGCAGGGAGCCCAGCACGGTCAGGCCGTCCGTGAGTGTCAACTCTAAGCGCCAAAAAAACCCCAGCGCCCCGCCGGCCGCTCGCCTTCCCCACATAGAGGGGAAACTGGGCAACGGGGCAAGAGAGACGCAGAAAAGACGCAGAGCGGCATCTGAGAGAGCGGGGGCCTGTGGGGGCCTGCGGGACCCCGTCCGCTCGCTGCCAGCGGAACGGGCATTGAAGCTATTGGGGGCCTTCCGGGGCCGGGCCGCGCCTGGGCCTGCGCGGTGGGGCTGGACTGTGCGGGGCCGCTGGGCCCGCCGCTGGGAGCTGTCCGCGGACAGGCAGTTAGGGCTGTGGGCGGCCGGCAGGCAGTGCGCCGGGCAGCTCTGGGCGGGCGGCCATGGCGACGGCTTTGGGAGTGCGGGTACCCGTGCGGCGCTTGTTGGCGGCGCTGCGGAGTCGGGGCTCCGGTCTCGCGGCCATGGTGAGTGAGTGCCGAGGACGCGCGGTGGTGGGAGGAGGTCGAGGCTCCGTGGAGCCGGCGGAGGGGCGGGAGGGACCCGCGCCGGCCCCGAAGTGGGCCCGCCCTTGGAGATCAGACCTTGGAAGCCGCGCGGGTCGGACGCGCTGGTCCAGGACCGGCGCGGCCGGAGCATCCTGCAGTTTTTCCTTGGCTTAAAAATCCCGTCGGAGTCTACGAAATTTCCAACCAGAAAACAAACGAGGACGACTTTTGTTGTTATTTTTTTAAAATATAAAAGTAGTTGTAAAAATAGTTGATGTTTGGGTCACTTGATCTGACTAAAGGTGCTGCTATTCAGTCTTCTAGGCTGTACGCTTGGTGAGAGCAGGGACCGTCTCGGCCACGGCGCGCTCGCCGCAGGTGGGGTGGCCGAATGTTGAATTAACTAATTTGTTTTGGTGTTATTTTGGGGGAGTTATTAATAAATTATCTTTTTGGTGACATATCGATTCTTTTTTCCTCTTACGAGGGGCGTCCGTCAGTCATCCTGCGTGAGAAGTTAATATATTGGGCTAAATTAACTTGAGTGAAAGTTTTAACATGCAGCACCACCTAGTGGGAAAGTGTTGCATTAAACTCATTTTATTTTAAGTTGCCTGATAGAGCCCGTTTGGCAGTTTTGCAGTTTTTTGATAGAAGAAATTAAATATACCTCGGGGATGGAGGAAGATAAGCACCTTGTTTCGTGGCCATTAAGGTGAGAACACAGGTTGAGTGTTGAGTGTTTACTGCCGCCTAGGCACGTCTCCAGGCATAACTCTCATCAAGGTCCTGGTGATTAAATAAAATTAGGTGTTCAGGAAGAAATCAACAAACACATACGATTTGAGGAGCTGCCACGTGCCAGGTTCTATATTGGGTGCCTTCACATTCAAGATCTCTTTAATTGAAGCCTTTCAAAAATCTCATCAGGTTAATATTGTAATATTCCCATCATAGGCACGAGGATACTGGTATTCAGAGAGGCTCAGGGATTTGTTCACCATCTCACAGCTTAAAGTAACGGAGCTAGGCCTTAAATCAAGTTAATGCTCTTCAGATACTATGCTTTTCCCTGTCACTAACCCCAGCTCCTATAGAAAAAAAAATTAAGCCCACCACAAAGGGTTCTGTATAGGGGTGTGTCCCCGGCGGGAGGGCATTTCTCTTATGTAGATGAAGTGGCTCCACTTCACTGTGCTGGACGGGACCCCTGTTCCCGGGCAGACATGTGCAGTGAGGACAGTTCGTGCTGTTGACCTCGTTGGGGTTGTGGAAGGGGGAGAACGGAGCGGCTCAGCACTTGTTCCTAGACTGCAGGTGACTGTTGCCTTACCTACAACGTGGTCAGTCGTTTTCTTTGCAGCTACTCAGTGTGGATGCAGAATGTCCTGTTTCTTTTCCAAAATACTCTGAGTTGATGTAAAATATTTAAGTTTCATAAGAATTTTGTGTTACTTGTAGTGGGTCTTTGTGTGAAAAATTTCAGAGACTGTCGTTTTAAAGGAATGAGTAGGTATTTTGGTTCTTAGTAGTAAATGTTTTTGAGAACAAGCCTTTGAATGTTTTTTATCTAAGCAAGAGGTATTTTCATTTTTCTTTCTTGTTAGTTATAGGTAAGGGTAGCTGACCTAGCAGAGAAGGGAAACTAGAAAATTATCTCATTAGTGTCCTGTTTTCCTCTTCATGGACTAAGTTGTCTTTTTATCCTTTAAAGTTTTTTTATATTTCAATTAGAGTCAACGTTCAATATTATTGTATAATAGTTTCAGGTGTACAGCATGGTGGACGTTAATATAATTTATGAAGTGACCTACTCACTTGGCACCAGACATAGTTATTACGATATTACTGACCATATATTCCCTATGCTGTACTTAGATCCCTATGACTATTTTGTAACTACCAATTTGGGCTCAATCCCTTCACCTTTTCACACTGTCCACCAACTCTTCTCCTGTTTGGCAGCCATCAGTTTGTTCTTTGTATCTATGAGGCTGTTTCTCTTTTGTTTGCTTATTTTGTTCTTTAGATTCCAATGTAAGTGAAATCACATAGAACTCGCCTTTTTCTGTCTGACCTGTTTCACTCAGTGTAATACTCTGTAGGTTCTTCCATTCTTCCATGCTGCCATAAATGGAAAGATTCCATTTTATATGGCTGAGTAATATTCCATTGTATATACTGCATTTTGCCATGTATAATGCACACCCATGTTTTGGGCCCAAACTTTCAGGAAGAAAATCTTTTCTTTAAATTTTTTAATTCAATTATTTATTTATATTTAGAAACAAAACTGATTATTGTATTCCAGGGTATTATTTTGCATATGGATATCATTATTGCTTTCTAGAGTTACACTTTTAATGCATAAGTATTAATAAAAGAATTAAAACCATTTATATAGATACTGAATTAGTACCACCTCTGTAAAATGTGCATCCTTATTTTTCCGTAAAAAATGTGGGCAAAACAGTGCTCATTATACACGGCAAAATATGGTATGTACCACAGCTGCTTTATCCAGTCGTATATTGATGGGCACTTACGTTGCTTCCATATCTTAGTTATTGTAAATAATGCTGCAGTGAAATAGAGGTACATGTATCTTTTTAAATGTGTTTGGATTTTTTTGGATAAATACCCAGAAGTTGAATTGCTGGGTCATTCGTTACTTCTGTTTTTAATTGTTTTCCTTAGTGGCTGCTCCACATTGCAGTCCCACCAATCCCAGCAGCAGTGCGCAAGGGCGCCTTTTCTCCACGTCCTCGCCAACACTTGTTTGTTGACTTATTGATGGTAGCCGTTCTGACAGGTAGGAAGTGATACCTCGTTGTGGTTTTAGTTTACATTGTTGAGGATTTTTTGCATCTATGTTCATCAGGATTATTGGCCTGTAATTTTTTGTTTTAATGTCTTTGGTTTTGGAATCAGGGCAATGGTGGCCATGTAAAATGAGCTTGGGAGCCTTCCCTCCTTTTGAGTTTTTTGGAATAATTTGAGAAGGATAGGTGTTAATTCTTTGAATGTTTGGTAAAATTCACCTGTGAAACCATCTGGTCTAGGACTGTTGTTTTTTGGGAGTTTTTTGATTCGATTGGCAATAATCAATCTGTTCAGAATTTTTGTTTCTCCTTGATTCAGTCTTGGAAGATTATATGTTTCTAGGAATTTATCCATTTCTTCCAAGTTGTCCAATTTGTTGGCATATGATTTTTCATAGTATTTTCTTACAGTCCTTTGTATTTCTGTGGTGTCAGTTGTCACTTATCCTGTTTCATTTCTCTCTTTTTTTCTTGATGAGTCCTGTTAAAGGTTTATCAATTTTGTTTATCTTTTCAAAGAATGAGCTCTTGATAGCATCGATCTTTTATATTATTTTGTTAGGCTCTATTTCACTTAAATCTGTTCCCATCTTTATTATTTCCTTCCTTCTACTCACTTTGGACTTTGTTGTTCCTTTTTTTAGTTCCTGTAGGTGTTAAGTTTAGATTGTTCATTTGAGATTTTTCTTGTTTCTTGAGGTAGGCCTGTATTGCAATGAATTTCCCTCTTAGGATTGCTTTCATTGTGTCCCATAGATTTTGGGTTGTGTTTTCATTTTTATTTGTCTCAATGTGTCTTTTGATTTCTTTGTTTTCATTGTTTAGTAACATGTTGTTTAGTCTCCATGTGTGCATTTTTCAGTTTTTTTTTCCTTGAAACTACTTCCAGTTTCATACTGTTGAGACTTGTTTTGTGGCCTGAATGTGGTCTATCCTGGAAAATGTTCCATGTGCGCTGTTTTGGGGTGAAATGCTCTAAAAATGTTAATTAAATCCATTTGACCCAACGTGTCATTTAGGGTTGTTGTTTCCTTGTTGATTTTCCTTTTGGAAGATCTGTCCATTGATGTCAATGGGGTGTTAAAGTCCCCCTAGTATGACTGTATGACTGTTGATCTCTCTGTTTGTGTTCATCAGCATTTGCTATATGTATGTATGTTCTCCTATTTTGGGTACATAAATGTTTACAAGGGTTATAGCCTCTTGTTTGATTGATCTTGTATCATTATGAAATGTCCTTGTTTGTCTCTTATTATAGCTTCTGTTTTAAAGTCTACCCTTGTCTTGGCAACGTGGGCATGAGCACATTTCCCAAGTTAGGGGTGAGCAGTGTAGCAAGTTGACTGAGTTTCTGGCCACTGCCCTTTCGGATCTTGGGCCTGACCTCCTTGGGCTATACAAGGGCCTTGATAGCCGCGGCATGTGTACTCATGGACTTGGTCTTTTTGGCCTACATCTTCTTCAGGCCTATCTTGTGCTTCTTGGCAAAGAAGCACATTTCTCAGGAACTTGAGGTCTTCCCCCTGAAGAGATTTGTGTCTTCGTGATTGAAGTTTCTTGATGCCCTTTCTGGACCATTTTCGAAATTCATTGTGTGTGGTGTGATTCTTGGACTTGGCCATGTCTCCACTGAAGCCTGTGGCTCCCGAAGCACCTTGGACCAGAAGAGAAAGAGTGTAGTTGAGTCTGATTGCCGTTGGCATGCCAGTGGGTGGGATTGCCCCTCTGGCTCACTGGCTGTGAGCATTGGCCACAACCATATGAGCTGCTGTGCTGGGGGCTGACCCTGTGGAACGGGATTCACCCCAGTGTGCTCTTTGCCTCCTGAGATCTTCCTATGGGCCTGCCACTTGTGGAGCCAATCAGGCGGTGGTCTGTTATGGTCTGAAGCCGGCCCCCAGGTGTGTTGTTTCTGAGGTCTCTTGGGGAGTGCTCCAGTGAAGACCTGGGTCAGCCGCTGCCTGTGACTGGCCGCGGGTACCTTGAGCAGGCTACAGAGCCGTCTGTGGTTGTTGGCTGCCTGTGCTGGGCACTGTGCACTGAGGCCGGCTTCCACCAGTACCGCACCTGGGGCAGCTCAGCCAGATGCACGGGGCGCTGTGAGGCCTGCTGCTGCCTGCCAGCTGCTCAGCCACTGAAAGAGCCGCGGGCAGTATACAAGTTGTGTGAAGTGGGGCGTCAGGGAGTCACCAGGCTGGGAAGAGTGGCGTTCACCAGGTTAATGCAAATTCAGAACGCACCAGTGCCAGCCCAGGGTCCATTCAGCGAGGGGCATGCTGAGGCCAGCAGCCACCCCCGTGGGGCCTGCAGGTGTTTGAGGATTTAAAAAAAAAATGTATTTATGTTTTTAGAGAGAGGGGAAGAGAGAGAGGAAGAGAGGGAGAGATACATCAGAATGAGAGAGAAACATCACTTAGTTGACTCTCTAGCTGGGGACCTGGCCAACAACCTAGGCATGTGCTTTGACTGGGAATCGAACCAGCGACCTTTTGGTTTGTAGGCTGGTGCCCATCCCACTCAGCCACAGCAGCCAGGGCCCTTTGAGGATTTTTAAGAAAGATTGTAACATGGGGCCAGCTCACAGTGCTGAAATAGCTTCTGTTGGTCCTTGACCTGGGCGTGGGGGAGCCTCAGGGAGTCGTTGTGGGGAGTGAGTGCAGTTCACCAGGCTAATATAGATTCACATTTGGCTGTTTGGGGGGAGGGCTCAGCATAGGGTGGATGGTGCCCTTCAACTGTGCAAAAGGAGAGCTCAACACAGGGAACGGTGGCCGCCGTCCCTCCAGCACTTACCCTGAAGCCACAAAACTCAGTTCCTTCCCGTATGTCTCTGACACCTCCTAAGCCACTACCCCTCCTCAGGAGCCCAGGGCGAGTGCCTGTGAGTGAGTGAGTCTGTGTGTGGGCCCTGCGAGAGGGTGGCTGGGTTTCCAGCAGCCTTCAGTGTCACCCAGATGGATGGAATCCCCACTGATTTTCACAGCCAGGTGTTGTCGGGGCCTCTCCTTCCATTGGTGAGCGCAGCTGGGGAGGCCACTGTGAGGCTGGAACCCCTTGCTTCTCAGTAGGGGACCTCTGTAGCCGATACACCACTCCCGATTCTCAGCTGCCCACTTGGGTGTGGGGTCAGCCCATTTTGCATTTTCATCTCTCTTACCGTTCTCGTTGTGGCTTCTCTACATCCTTAGTTACAGGACTTCTGTTTAGCCAGGTTTCAGGTGGTTCTCTAGGTTGATCGTTCTTTAGTTTACTTGTAATTTCAATGTGATCATGGTAGGAGGAGAGCATAGTGTTCACCTACTCCGCCACCTTTACCAGAACCTCTGGAATAAGTTGTCTTAAAGTAAGTTTACTGCCTGTCCTCTTACATTAATGTCAGTGATAAAGGTTTTAGGATTCCTGAAATGGGAATGAGTTGCAGTTTTGTGGTGGAGGATCCGGCCCAGCCCCGCCGTCACCCTTCGATGAGGAACTCACGTTAGTTTATTCTTTCTGCATGACAGTCCCCCTCTCACCTGAGCCTAGAGTAGCCCTGCAGACAGGTAAGGAAACAGGTTTTGGTTGGCATTTTTGCCAGAGTGAGAACAAAATTCTTCTGACTTTGATTGGAATTCCCTTCTCTTATCTCTAGCCATGCTTAGAGTTCTTTCAGCTAAAAAACAAGGAGTATGGGAAGTGTGGGTCTGTTAACCCACAGACTCCGGGTTTGCGAATTTCCGCAGCAGTGTGAGCAGGAGCAAGGGGGACAGTGCGCGCTGGGGCTTGGGACTGGGCAGCGCTCTGGCCAGGCCGGAGGGAGATCTTCCTGGTGCTCTGAGGAACTTCACTAAGGTGAAAGGCTTTTTACATGTAGTCCAGAGGGTCTTGGACCTCCCAGAAGTTATCAAAATCCTATATAATTTTGCATTTGTTTTTTTTCCTCTGGGGATTAGTTTTCATCATATCTGAAAGGGATAGTGAACCCCGATAATTAAGTCCCATGTCAGTAAGCAGTGAAGGTTGCTGAGGTTTTGTGGGACCATCCAAAGAGCACTAGACCAGGAGTTTAGCGCCCTGGTTCTAATCTGGTCCTGCCAGTGGACTTGCAGGGTTTCCTTGGGTGGGTGTGTTCACCTGAGTTTCCTAATAACTGGAATGCTGGCCGTTGTTAATGGTCATTGGTAAGGTGGCCAGTGGTACTGGTCAGTCTCAGTCATATCTGTAATAAACCCGAGAAGCTGAAGTGTGATGTGTGAGACGGGGGTGGGCTACTGAGGCACCGTCCCATGGAGGCAGCGTACGTTGTGGAGAGCTTGTCTTGTTTTTGTCTATATTTTGAGAACTTTGTATTTTGAGACCAAGGGAACCAAAGAGGGTTAGAAATTGTTGCCTTTAAGACTTTTTTTCTGTATCTCTAGTAAGGGAAAGAGTTGTAAGTTGATTTGAGTTTAACTAAACCTCTACATTTCAGATGTTAAATGTGTTCTTTTTATAGTCAGCAGATGCTCACTTGTTGACAGCAGAGGAGAGGAACCAAGCTATGCTTGACCTTAAAGCAGCAGGATGGTCGAAATTAAAAGAGAGAGATGCCATCTACAAAGAGTTCTCCTTCAAAAATTTTAATCAGGTAATTATGACATATTCTTGCTAGTACCACGGTCGGTTTTTGTCACCTTAGGCTGTAACTTCGTAATACTGCTGGTTGTCGGATCCCATGTGGATCCAGCATCTAAATCCTCTTCTTTAAGAATTCAGTCCCGCCCTGGCTGGTGTGGCTCAGTGGATTGAGTGCCGGCCTGTGAACCAAAGGGTCACGGATTTGATTCCCAGTCAGGGCACATGCCTGGGTTGCAGGCCAGGTCTGCAGTTGGGGGCTTGCGAGAGGCAACTACACATTGATGTTTCTCTCCCTCTCTTTCTCCCTCCCTTCCCCTCTCTCTAAAAATAAAGAAATAAAATCTTAAAAAAAAAAAGAATTCAACTTGTTGACATTTGATATCATCCAGCTGAGGGAGTGATTCTTACTCAGCTCTAGGGGAGGAGGGTGTTGTGTCATTTGGAAAATCAAATTCTGAAACCACTGTTGCTTTGATTTGGTGTTGGTTAGGAGGCTTAGTTTCCTTTTAAATTTTAAATAATGTGATAAGAGAGCGTGAGTTTATATTTATCAGAAGGGAATGTAACAATAGTTGAGAAACACGCACCAGCTTGATTGATTTCTCCTAATTTTCTTGGACAATTGTCAAATTTTCTTGCACCCTCTTGTTGTATTTCTGTCTAAATCATCTCCCAAGCTGCACCCTCTTCTCTGATTGGCTCGTTTCCCTCAAGCCAGTAGCCAGCCCTTGAAGCTTTTCTTAAAAGCTGATCTCCAGGTGGAGACTCAGCCTTAACAAGGTAACTGTTCCATTAGGGCGCCACCCTGTTTAGAGAGTCATCTCCCATGACTTGCCCTGCAGTTCTAACTCCATTGCATTTATATAAGATCAGTGCTTTTACCCATTTCATGTTTGTTCAGTTAGGTTGGTAATCCTCCGGACAGCTTTATTGTTTTTATTTATTTTAGGTGTCAGCATCTAGGAGGCAGAGACCATGTTTGCTTAAAAACCTCTCTATTGTACCTAATCCAGTTCTGCATACAAACAGGCATTTGATAAATGCAGACATTGGTTACAGTGTTTGCTTGTTTCTGGAAGGGTGTGTGAGGACCCGATTTCCACCCGAGAAAGCTCCGACATGTTTTCCTAGTAAACGCCAGCGGCCCCACCGAGCTGCGTGCCTTGTTCTGCTCCCCGTCCATCTGGCTGCCAGCCTTCGGCTGTGAGTCTCTGACTCCTGAGGAAACCTGGACCGAGCCGACTCCCTGTCACTGCTGCCCCATGTGCTCGGAAGCTCTTGTCAGGGGCTTAGCACTCTGTGGCTGGTGGCAGGGAATCCCATTGGTACAGTAAGTTCGTGCATAAGCTCTAGGTAGCATTTTCCAAGCTTATTAAAATTCTTACATGTGTACAGCCTGACTTCTTTAAGCCTGGGCTAATTTATTGGGCTGGAACATGTGGCTTAAAGTACTTGAGTGGTGTTGCCTAGGGCTCTGCCCATGAGTCGGTCGTCCGGCCCCACTCTAACCTCGTGCCAGGGCGACTTTCGGAAAAGGGAGGGGCAGGAAGATGTCCGGGGCAACATCCGACGAACTAGACTTTTTCTTCTCACTTCATCCAGCTTTTAGGAGAAAGAAGCAGATGACAAGAAGATCAGCTGACGTCAGGGAGTGTATTCAGAGAACCAACACCGAGTTAGTGTCCTAGAATCATTTCTCCAGCCGGGCTCCTGTGACTTCTGCATGTGTAGTGGCCTGTTGTGGCAACTGCTGTCCTGACAGCTCTCAGCGCCCACCAGCCAAAGACTACCGGAAACACACCGGTAGTTGAACAGGTTAGGCTTCCTGCTTGTTGAAGCAGGGGAGAACTCACGCCGTAGGAGCCTGTGGGGTGTCTCAGGAAGATGGCCGTAGACTTATTACAGGATTTGGGCTTGTGTTAGTGGTTTGGGAGAGTGGTTAGGGGCTTTGCTCTGGAGTGTGTCAACGTAAGAAACATTCAGACCTGTAGGGGATTTTTGGGAGTTTATCTGAGCCACACTGATAATTGCTGGGGAGTAAAATCTCAATGGATTGAGAAAAATGCTCCAGAGACTGGCAGTTCTGCAACCTGCTTTATACATTAGAATCAAAAGAGAGGCCCTAAGTGGGTTGCATGAAATCCACTGGTAATAGATTAGAGAGGCCGGGGAAAGCACCTTGGGATTGGATGACAAGGAAGAGGGTAGACGCACACTTTTTTTACATTGGTGGGTATAGGATAGTTGATGGTCAACAGTTAACGCAGTACCAATGAGGGGCTCTGTGGCCCTGGCTGTGGTGCTCTGGTGCGGTGGCTGGGCTTTGAGGGTCTGGAGAAAGGAAGTCACTTAGACGCTCCAAAGGTAAGTTATCATAGATACAAAAGGACAATACACAGGATTAATTAAGGTAAAGATTGACTTTTGTCAGGGAAGATTCTAGCCTGGGACATAAACTGCTTTTAGGTAATAAGTTTTAACTTCAAACCGCCCTTTGTGGCTACTTTCGGTCTCTGAGTTAATAAGGCCGCCATTCACGCCTCCCCGGAGCTTGTCAGGGTTGGCATGTGGCCACCTTGGTGTCCACAAATGGATGCTGTCAGGGAATGGGTAATCTTGTAATTCAGTACTTTTTCCCTTAAATTGGAGAAGTCCTTTTATAAAAGGTTTTTTAATTTAAGTATAGTTGATATACAGTATTACCTTAGTTACGGTAGGTTCAGGTGTACATATAATTCAATATTTTAATACATTTTACGTATAGGGGGAAGAGACTAAAGTGGAAATGAGTAAAAAGCTGCAGTCGCTTATTAGCCAGGCGTGGGGGGTTCGTGGTTTGTCTGTATTCAGGTATTACTACCGAGTGGTCTTATTTTTGTGTGAACGTCCTAGAGGCGATGTGGTCACCGCAGATGCAGCAGGGGATTTGATCGGGTGGGTGATGGCACGCGGCCCGGCACCTCGTGCAGGACCCCTGCAGCTTTCTCCGAGGGCTCTGCTGGTCCTGGTGGCCTCTGGGGGAGGTGGGCACGCGCTCCGCAGAGTGGCATTGCCTCACGCTGATGTTTGTGTTCCACACCACAGCCCAGGCGACAGGCCCAGGCCGGCTCCACGCAGGTCTCCACTGCAGCAGGCTCGGCAGCAGGTGACGGGAGGCTGTGGAGGGCGCAGTGGTGGGGAGAGAAGGTGGGGTTCCTCATGTATTTTGGAGCCGGAACAGTCATGGCTTCCTGTTAGATCAAGTGTGAGGAGGAGAGGGTCCAGGGTGATCTCAGGGTTTTGGTTCAAGCCGTAGGGTGAAGGGTGGTGTTTCTTCCCGAGCTAGGGCAGATGGCATGGAGGGCAGGGTAGGGGATTAAGAACCCTGTTTTGTATGTGTCAGGCCTGAGATACTGGTCACCCAAGTGGCGATCGGGCCAGCAGGTAGATAGTATGAGGATGGGGTGCAGGCTGGAGGTGTCAGTTTGGGAGTTGTCGGAGGGGGTGACCGTGAGAGCACAGTCCTGGATCAGCAGGCGAATGGGCAGGTGGAGGCGCAGGCACGCTTTGTCCATTGAAATGAGAGAGAAGGCCAAGAACTTGCGTGTGGGTGGAGTAGGCTGCTGTGTTTGTCCAAGGGAGAGGAGAGAGTTCTCTTCCGACTGCTCCTATTTCTTAATGAGGTCATCAGCTGAGAACAAGCAGGGTGAGAGGGAGGGGCATCGGAGACCTGGGAAGATGGGAAGATGAGTGGAATAGTCACCTTGGAGATGGAGACTGAGACAGTGAACTAACTGAGGAAATGCGGCTGTTTGCTGGTAGTTCTGTGTCACTGGAGATTTACGGTCGAACATTTAAAGTGAAGGTGTGGTGTGTTTTGTCCAGCCATGGTCAGCGGCTTGGGCACGGGCTTGGAGTAGGTGCTGAGCGGGGCGTAAGCAGGGGCTGAGCCTCTGCCGGCCGAGTGCCGTGGAGGAGCCCGGGGCAGGAGAGGCTGAGACGCTGCGGGCAGGGCAGCTGTGACGTGGAGGCGGAGGGTGAAGAGGAGTGAGTGTCCTTTCATGGCATCTTTCTGGAGGGCGATTAGGCAGAGTCTGTCAGCCCGTAAAATGCACGTACCCATTGTCCTCGTCTAGAAATTTATCTAGAAGTAGTCCTGCCTGAGTGCACAACGGATATGTGAGGATGTCCATTATAGCTCTGGGAGCAGGCATTGTCCTGGGGGCGCACAGCCGTGGGGAGGGCCCTGCCCCCCTCGCGGCAGCCGCACCCTGGGCAGGAGTTGGGGGCGCCGCTGGGCCCCACATGCTCCTGGCAGTGGCAGCGCCCGTCCTCAGCGCTGTAGATTGGAGGGGCCGCTGTCAGAAGTGGTCCCCCTCCCTTGAGAGAGTTCAGCCCACACTAGGTGTTGTTAGTATATGTTTTTAAGTCTTTGCAGAACACGTAGGTAAAAGAATAGTTCTGTTTAATTTGTTCGATAGGTGAACATTTTTTAGTTCTTTACATAGTCTTTTCATTTTACCTACCATAAATCTTCAGGAGTAAGATTACACTTGGTTGGGTGTTATAATATTTAAATGGTTTGCTCATGTAGTGTGTGTAAAATGGTATTGCAAGTTTGCTTTAGAATTCATTTCTTTTATTACTGGAGAAAATGAACTATACATTTTAGAAACATTTTCAGTGTCCTGGATGAAAAACCTATTGCTCAAAGCTTTGGGTTACTTTAGATTTTACCAGCAAAATAGAGATCAACTTTTTTTTTTCTTTGAGGTTTTATTCCAGGAGATAATTAGTTCCAAATAGTCCACATGCATTTGATAGCTCAGCTGGGCGCATAGACTTTCAGAATAAGAATGAGAAAGTCCCCCAGGAATTCTAATGGCACGGGCGGCTGAGGTGGCCCTCGGTGTCCGAGGCTGTTCATCTGCGGCCTCTCCTCGGCGGGCAGTGCGATGGGGATGGGGAGACTCCGCGAGCAGTCAGAGCATGGCAGTGCCGCGCGGCGCCCGCGGGACGTCCCGTCCCTGG